GGCACCTCTCATTGATCCGGTTTGCGCTCCCCAGCTTCAGAACATCTGCACACAAATGCACCAAAAATCAACACACCAGTATATCCACCAGAGAAAAAACAGGACAAGAGAATTACTCATGCTTCCTCACCCTTGTTGATGCACAAGTTCTTCCTGGATCCCAAGCACACCGTCCTGAGCCGCCATCCGAATTCCGTCTTCTTGAGCTCTCCTACAAACTGAGAGAGCTGTGAGTGAGTGCGGCTAGTGAAGAACACCTTGGGTGTCACCTCCTCCTCCTCCTCTTCCTCCCCATCCGCCTCGCTCTCGCTACTGCTACCACCACCGCGATGCGGCCGCTTCCCCGCCTCCCGCCTCACGCAGACCTCGCCGTCGCTCTCGTACTCCTCAACCAAGAACTCCTCGTCCTCCGCCTCCTCAGACCCCTCCGGTTTCTCCGAACCCGCCGCCGCCCTCCTCGGCGCCTTGCTCCGCGCCGCTGCGGCGGGGGGCCTCCCCTTCTTCGCGGTCGGCTTCTCCGGCGGCAGTGGCGTGAAGTCCCGCATCCAGTCAGGCTCGTCGCCGTCTCCTTCCCCACCGCCGCCGGCTGCGGCGGCGGTGGTCGAGCCCCGTGCGGCGGCGTCGCGGTGGTCGACCAGCCACTGGAGCGCGCTGCAGATGATGCTGAGGGTCTTCCCGGTGCCTGCGGGGGAGCGCACGAATGTTAGGGTTTCGTCGGAAGGGGGGAAGCGGCGGCGGCGGCGGTGAGGTCTCACCGGTGGGGCTCTCGAGGAGGGCGAGCGCGCCGGGGCCGGAGGAGAGGGCGCCGTAGAGGAAGGACATGAACTCCGACTGGATCGGGTACGGCGCGAACGGGAACGCCGGGAAGTCCCGCCGCGGCGGCGGCGGAGGCGGAGGCGGCGCCGGCATTTCGCCCCGCGCGCGCGCGCTGGTGGTGGTGGGGTTTGGGATTTTTCCCGCGCTCGCGGCCGTCGGCGTCTCGGCGACGGGGACGAGTGCCCTGAGGCCTGAGGTTGGGGGGTATAGCGCTTTAAGATTCGGGATAGCGGCTATTGGGCCGTGAAACCATATTCGCGTTTGTGGGCTGCGGGCCTTTACAAGGGTGAAACCATATTTGGAGCAATAAGTCCATTTCAGATACCTTAACTTTACACCCGATTTTCGTCCTTCTACCAGATACAACGGATCCCTAAACTGTCAAAACAGGTGTAAACGAGACCCCTCAATGGTTTGGAAGTCGGTTTTAGCTGAAGTAGCATCTACGGTTGGTTTTACTAGGTCTTCGCCCCATGTGGCATTGGTGTGGCGTTTACGTGACAATTCGATCCCCAAAAAACATAAAAACTGCAGGCTCACAGGCCAGCTACACACAAAATAATTGAAATTAGTGGGACCCACGTGGGCCCCACATGTCATCCTCACTCCTCCCTTCTTTCCTTTCCCCCCTCACTTTTCTTCCTCATCCTCACAGCGGAGCAGGTGAGCGAGGCAGGCGGCATGCGAAACAAACCAACGGCGGGCGACGACCTCGTCGAGGCGGTGTCCTCCTCGTTGCCTTCCGCCTCTGGCGGGGTGTTCTCCTTCTCCAGCAGCGGCAGCGGTGGTGGTGATAGTGGCTTCTTCTTCGGCGGCAGGCAGCGGCAATGGAAACAACATCGCCTTCTTCCTCGGAGGTGGTCGAGGAGGGACAGGAGCAACACAGCGGCAGGAGGGGAGGTTGAGGGCGACACCGGGACCGCGGATGTGGACACAAGCATCGTCATAGGCAGCAGCGGCAGCCTCAGTGGTGTCGAAGGTACCGAGCCACACACGTCGCCTGTTCTCCTTAGGGTTGCCCAATCTCCACCGCCCACCTCTCCCACGGCTGCTGCCGCACGCCAGTAAACCTCCTCTCCACCTCCTGGCACCACAACCGCGTCCCCAAGACCAACACCCGCCTTGCCGCCGCCACCTCCCCTTCCTCCTCCTCCTCACCGACAGCCACGCCACATACACGCGTGTGATCCGTGAGCGACAGCTCAAGTAGGCAACGATGGTGGATGAGGCGGTGTGGGCGTCGCCGATGGTAGTTCCGGCTCAGGCGCAAATCCAACAAGCTCACCGGCGGTCTCCTCCGCGGGATGCCATGTCTGACGGTGAGAGGAGGAGGTTAGGGAGGTAGGTGGGTTAAGTGTGCAAGATCGCTGCCACGACGCCTTCCTTGGGCGGAAGCAGAATCCACGCGACAAAGGAGATGAGGAGATTAGGAAGGAGGAGAGGCCTGGAGAGAGAGATGGGCTCGATGCCTGGAGAGAGATGAAGACGAGGGAATGAGAATGACATGTGGGGCCCATGTGAGCCCACCATTTTTTAATTATTTTTTTTGTAGCTGACATGTGGGGGCACAATTTTTATTATTTTCCAAATCAAATTGCCGCGTAAGTGCCATGTCAATGCCACGTCAGATGAAGAACGAGTCAAATTAGCCACGTTTGCGCCAGATAAGCTAAAATCATCGTCCAAACCGCCATGGGACGTACCAATTTTGATAGTTGATGGACATGTTGTATCTAGTTATCCAGTTAAAGGAAGAAAATCAGATTTATTAATAAATTAAGGGACCTCACATGAACTTATTCCTATTTTGGACCCTGTTTGATTTTGACCTTTTTTTAACTCCTCAAGTCATAAATATTTAATGTTCGGTGAAAAAATTAATATTTTATCCAGTAACTTGAGAATAAAATAAGTTTATAAAATGTAATGACTTGTGATATTACGACGCTAGTATCTCTGAAAGCAAATCTACTCATTGTCTCTTTAAAAATAACCGTTTGAGAAGTTATTGTAACCAAAGTTCCAAAATTTTGATCAAAACCATCGAATAATTATAATCAACGGGAGTACTTTTTTTTCACTTCGTAGTACGTAGTAGCACTTACCCTCGAACTTACAGCCTTCTCCGGTATTCCAGGGTATATAAGAACATTATGAGAAAAAAAGAATATATTAGAGATAAATTACAAAGTGAAACCAGCTGCTTCCTTTGTAATATACTAATATGGGGAAGCTAGCACCAATGATGTGATGGTGGGGTCGCCGTGGGTGTATGACTCCATGCACCAGAGTTCAAATCGTGGTGCCTATAAATATTAGGCATATGTATGTGTGCTTTCAACAGGATTTTGGTAAGATCATAGATGTGACGTCGGTTTTTGTCTCTCAGAGCATGTATTAGGAGACGCGTTGCCAAGGGGTGAGTGTGGTGTTGTAATGGTTTTTGTCTCTCAAAGCATGTGTTAGGACGTACATTCGCGAAGGGGCGAGTGTGGTGTTGTTTTTTAGCAGCGTGTACGCGCGTCTGCCGTGTAATCATAAAAAAAACAACCTCCCTTTTGGAATATATATAGAAATTTTAGCTATAAAAGAACATTATATAATTGATACCACCTCCGTTTCGAAATAAAGCAATTTTTAGCTAATTATATGCTCCAAAAATTAAAAAATTGTACAGAGTTTAAAGAAGAAATCAAAGGCTCGTATTAGAATTTACTTAATATAGTAAAACATAATTTAGGAATGCTAGTTTTGTCCGGGGATTAGGGCAGCTAAGGCTATATAGAGCCGTACTTTTTGATCCAAATATCCATTAAAGTTACACTTCAAAAATTTAAAAATAGAAAATAAAATACAAACCTATACGCATGCACAGTAGAAATAATATGATTTTTGACCATCAAAATTTTATTTATAGGTACTTTTCAGGACAATGTATTGGCTCCGATGTTAAGCCAAATTACAAAGGTGAGATGACGAAATCAAGCAAATAAATGATGCATGTCATAGATTCGAGTCAATAGAGGTTCACAAATATAATTCAGTAATTGTGAGATCTTTATGTTGTGTTCGTGTCTATTCACTGATATGCCATTTTTCGAATCATGTTGTAATGGCTATTATTATTGGTATTATAAATAAAGTTTAATGACACGTGAAATACAATTGTTATTTTTCGAATTATGATGGTTTATGATAAATAATTGCAAAGTTTTGTACCAAAGCTTATGATCCCCGGTTTCTTTCTTTCGGAAGTTCGGAACATGCTTTGGTCACACATTATTACGGTTTTGAGCCGTAAATCGTTGCAAATGAAGGCTGGTTGATCACCTTCTAAATTCTAATAGGGTGAGAGATAAATATGGATCGAAGCATTGGTACTCTTTTATGTGGAGAGAGATCCACAAATTTTGACAATTTGACTCTTTGCAAAAACTATTTTTACAAATGAACCGTCGCCAAAACTTATTTTAAAAATGACTCTTTTGTTCAGCGCCAAATCGTGTGGCGCTAAACTTAGACACCTCAGCGCTAAATAGCATGGTGTTGAATGTGCGTTGGCACGCTGACTTAGCCTCCCATCCACGGTGGCACGGTATTCAGCGCCAGTTGACGTGACACTGAGGTGTCTAAGTTCAGCGCCAGATGATTTGGCGCTGAAAAAAAGATTATTTTTAAAATAAGTTTTGGTGACGGTTCATTTGTAAAATTAGTTTTTCAAAGGGTCAAATTGTCAAAATTTGTGGGAGAGATCAGTCTGTTTGTCCCCTGATTGCTGCATGGCTGCTTTGTTATGCTATCGGTATCTCAATGACATGTAGAACCCACATGAGTCAATGACATGTGGGTCAGGATGACATATCTCAAATTTTACAAAATTATAATGGCATGGTTTCAATTTTCCCTTAGTTGGTTTGGTTGCGAATGCTATGTAATGGAATGTGTTTTAGTATTGCTTAAACTTATATGTATTTTAAAGTTTGATCGAGTTTTACATTAAAACGTAACAGTATAATACCAAATTAATTTTATTATATTACGATTCAATATATTTTTATAATTTATTTTCTTGGTGTTGTCAACGTTGCTACATCAAAGACAAAATCATAACATCTTGCATTTTGAAACAGAGCAGTATCCTCATAAATTTGGTGAGCTTTCCTCTGGTTTGGTGAGTAGAACACTACATGAAAAGGAAGAATATAATAGAGACTAATTACAAAGTTAAACCATTCATCTTTCTTCGTACTCCATCCGTTTCGGGTTATAAGACTTTCAAGCATTGCCCACATTCATATAGAAGCATTGCCCACATTCATATAGATGTTAATAAATCTAGACATATGAATGTGGACAATGCTAGAAAGTCTTATAACCTAAAACGGAGGAAGCAGCATATAGAACACACAATCTAATAGGATATATGTCCTGATGTACAAAACATTGTTGCCCTAATTCAAGAAAAACACTTTGATTATCATAGGATACATGTGGTTTCAACTTTGAATTCATCTCCTCAACTCACTCCATCAGGGCCACACTCTGGCAATGCCGCCGAGAAATTCAAGAATCCGATCGTGTCATCTTCCAGCTCAAGATCTCGCCGCGGTGGGCTTGGCCGCGGCGGACTCAATGTCCTCGTCGTCGGCGTCGGCGTCGGCGGCGTCGGCGTGCATCTCGAGCAGCTCCTTGATGGGGATCATGCTCTGGCCGTCGGTGATGGCGATGGCGATGTCGTTGGGGAAGAGCTTGTGGAGCACGAAGGCGTGGATCATGGTGGTGGCGAAGAGGGCGGTGACGACGAGCGTGGCGACGGCGGAGAGCGCGACGCAGAGCGCCCTGGTGAGCGCGTTGTCCACCTCGGTGGAGTAGCGGATGGAGGCGATGGCGGCGCCGGTCATGGGGAACGTGTACGCCCACCACGCCAGCGAGAACCTGAACCCGCGGAAGAAGTTGATCCGCACGGCGAGCGACGCGTACAGGAACATGGCGATGAAGTAGGCGACCCTGGAGCCGAGGCCGAACTCCCCCGTGATCCTCGCCCACGCCATGGACGCCACGCTCGGCGCCGCCACGAACAGGAAGAACACCGGGTGGAGCTCCTTGGGCAGCGTCTCGTTCGTCGGCAGCCGCTGGTACAGCGTCACGAACAGCACGCTGTAGTGCGCCATCCCGACGGCGAAGAAGAACACGGGCCCCTCCCTGAGCCCCATCGACGCGCCCAGCAGCGCGCCGACGAAGTTGCCGACGACGGACAGGTGGTTCGACGGGTTCGCCACCTTGGACAGCCGCCTCTGCCCCCCCGACATCCACTGCCCATAGATCTTGAGCTCCAGGCACAGCACGGGCGCCATGAGCGCGTACCAGAGCCAGTGCGGCAGCAGCGTCGGCGCCACGGAGTCCGGCACGCCGATGGTGAGGAAGAGGCAGGCGATCCACGGCGCGAAGAAGAAGTTGACCCTGATCGGGTGGTAGTACTCGCGCCGGACGGCCTCGAAGAAGAACACCACCTTGGCGCCGTACGTCGCCGAGATGGCGCACATGAGCGCCACGGACACGCACCACAGCACCAGGTTCACCTTGGTGGTCACGTGCAGGAACGCCGTCGGCCCCGACGTCGCGATCGTCTTCCACAGGATCGCCTGGCTGCTCACCCCCAGGCACATACCGAACGCCGACACCGGGAACCGCAGCAAGAACGGCCATGTCTTGTCCGACGGCAGCACCAGCTCCTCCTCCGACTGCGGCAATGGAGGTTGCGGGTGACGTCAGCGTGACAACAACAATGGAGGATGGATGAGATCGATTGATTCTCTTTTTTGTTTCCCCTTACCTTGAGCTGGTCCAGTTCGGGGCCCTCCAGGGCGGCGAAGAAGCGATCGACCTTGGGCAAGGAGGAGGTGTGGTGGCTGCCGATGGCGTCGCCGCGTTCCTTGTCCACAGGGGCCTCCGGCCCGACGCCGGCGAGGTGGGTGAGCTGCCGCTCCAGCTTACCGGACCACGTCTTGAACGAGTCGTACCGCTTGTCCCGGCACATGGCGCGGCCGCCGCCGCCGCCCGTCGCGGTGCGCGACGGCTGCCCGCCGGGGATCGGCTGCGACAGGAACATCATCCGCTCCGGCTGGACGAACCGCACGCCATTGCCGCCGCCCTTCGCCTGCGACGCCGGCGAGTGCAGCGGCTCCCTCGCCGCGTTCGCCGCGGCCTGCCTCCTGAGGTCGACGTCCGAGTCGCCGCCGCCGCCGCCGCCCACTGGAGTCGGCGCGCCGAAGCCGCTCGGCGACGCCGGCAGGCTGACGGACACGGGCTGCACCGACCGGAACCCCGGCGACTCGAGCGGCGGGACCACCGCCTCGCCGCCGCGGCGCGGCACGCGGACCAGCGAAGGCGCCTGCATTGCCAACGAACAAACAGTCAGCGACCTCCACGTCCATGTCTCGATCGATCACCATGGCAAGCTAGAACAGATCAAACCAATCCATGGCGACGGCGACTCACCCGTGGGCGCGTCGGCGTGTTGGGATGCGGCAGGGGGCGCGGGCTAGGCTGAGACCGCGGGCTCGGCGCCGTGACGTCGAAGCTGGCGACGTTGGTGACCTCAACGTCGGGGAGAAGCGACGGCACCTCGCCACCGGGCTTGCTGCCGCCGTTGGCCTCCATTGCTCACTCACTCACTCACTCACTACCTGCACGACACACACATGTAACAAGGTGAGAACTGACAAGTGATCAGCTTTAAACGAACAAATGGTCACAGCATTTTTTCCCTGAAAAAAATTCAGAGGAAATAAACAGATCAGCAGATTATCTTGGAGATTACCAACACCAACTATATTGTTCACCATAGGCCCATAGATTCTGATGACAACTCAGATCAACCAACAGCCACATCGTTTCGTTTGTACTTATCTTTTTATTTTTTGAATTTTTGAACTTTAATTATATGGTTCATTTTGTTGTTTTCTCATCGTAGTTTATTTTACAACATTTTCTTTTGAATAACTACGCATGTATAAAAGTTTTTTTTTTTCACAAATAAGGTTTTAGTTGGCATTCCCTCCGTCCCAAAATAAGTGTAGTTTTGCACTATTCATATCTAACGTTTGACCGTTCGTCTTATTAAAAAAAATATGATTAGTATTTCTATTGCTATTACAGTAGATAATAAAACATGAATAGTATTTTATGTGTGACTATTTTTTTAAAAAAATTTTACAAATATTTTAAATAAGACGGACGGTCAAACGTTGGACATAGATATCCATAATTGCACTTATTTTGAGATGGAGGTAGTAATAATAAGCAGTTTGGATATACACAAACACAATCGGAAAGATGAGGCTGCAATGTTCAATCAAGCCTTGTGGAGAAATTTCAGCTAGAAGCCTGTTTGGCTTTCAATATAAGACAGGTCTCTGACTTTTTTTTTTCCAAAAAAAAAGAAATTCAGCCAGAAGGCATGAGATTCTGGACATTTATTTGGGTTTTTTTAGGGCCTATTTAGTTCCCAAACAAAATTTTTTGTGCTGTCACATCGAATGTTTGGATACATGCATGGAGTATTAAATGTAAAAAAAATAAATTACACAGTTCGCCAGGAAATTGCGAGACGAATCTTTTAAGCCTAATTGCGCCATGATTTGACAATGTGGTGCTACAGTAAATATTTGCTAATGACGGATTAATTAGGCTTAATAAATTCGTCTCGTAGTTTCCTGGCGGAACCTGTAATTTGTTTTCTTATTAGACTATGTTTATTACTTTAAATGTGTGTTCGTATATCTGATGTGACATATGAGGGGTAATTTTTTTTACCAATTTAACAAGCCCTTAGGATCATTCTGACGAACAAAGAGACAAGGGGCGAATTGAAGAAGAGGCAGAGCATGTGCAATCGATCAGCTGTGCAGCCTTTTAGGAGTAAATGGCAAAAGGTACGGCAAAATGATGATTGGGTGACTAGTTCCAAGTACCTGGTGGTGTTGGGGTTTGCACTACTGCTGATGTATTACTCCTAGAGAAAAAAAAACCAAGTAGAGTTTAAATTTTATCTTAAAATAGATCAACTCCTACATTCTGTTTCTTTTATTAAATACCCCCTCCATCCTATAAAAAAACAACCTAACCTAGTACCGGATGTGACATATTCTAATACAACGAATTTAGACATATATCTGCCTAGATTCATTGTACTAAAATATGTCACATCTAGTATTAGATTTGTTTTTTTAAGTTTTTTAAGGACGGAGGGAGTACTCCTAAGGGGTTTGAATTTTATTGGGAGAGATGGAGTATGCATGTATGGTGGGGGCTCACCTCACCACTACTGCTCTCCTTCGTTAAGTCGAGCAACTACCAGGGTTTCCCAAACCGCCGGGGCCAGGGTTACTGCGCCCCGGCGGTAAGCACGGTTACCACGCGATAACCGCAGTAACCGTGAAAAACTGTACAAAATTTATCAAAAATTCAAATTATTTTTTAAATTTATTTGAATTTAAGGAGGTTACCGCAGTATTTATATTACCGTACCCCGCGGTAAGCCTGGTAACCACGGTAACCGCGCGGTTACCGGCGGTAAGGGAAACCTGGCAACTACCGTTGGTCTCTGGACTCTTTCGACGTGCATTAACATAGGGTGCTCATGGATGCATGCATGTTTTGTGTAGTAATACACCCTCTTGAAAATGATTGTAATTTTAGGCAAGATGATTGTATTAGTTGAAAATAGTGTATAATATAGACTATACTCACTACTTCCTCCGTCTCGGAAAGCTTGACGTTCCAGGCATTCTGACACAAATTAGCTTATAGAGGAAATTACCAATCCACTCTCCATTTATCAGCTGTTGTTAGAAATAATGAGCATGCACTCAATTCAAATGAGTGGTCCAGAGCTAAAATGACCATCTTTTTGTGACATTTTGTGAGCCGTAAAATGACAATCTTTCTGGGAATGAGGAAGTATTTTCTATTATAATGCATATATTCACTACCCTCTTGAATAAAGTAATACACCCTCTTGAAAATAATTGTCTTCAAAAATAACTTTATTCACTATTTTCTATTGTAATATATATAAAAATATCAACAAATATATAATTTTTATTGGAGTACATTTTAAGATTAATCTATACATATTATTGTTTCTATGTTTAAAAGGAAAAATTTTAAAAGTTATTCATAGTCAAAGTTTTTAAAATTTGATATCAATTTTGTCCAAAACAACAATTATTTTTAACCTAGAGGAATAACTAAAAAAAATAATGTGTCATCGTATTGACTTGAGATGGACGCATTATATGCATAATTTCTCTATGAAGATGGGTTCTTTTTTTTTTGGAGAGATTGCCCCCTAGTTTTTGTCATCTAAATACTATGATTTTTTTTTAAAAAAATAAATAACATAAATTATGTGATATCACTGGATAAATATGTAATTTTAACTAATATATTTGTGAAGAGATGTATTCATGTTGTCAATTATTTCTATAGTTTTTATAACTATTTAGATCACATGTAAGAAAACGAATAGACATAAAAAGACTTTCCCAATGTTCTATCTACTATAAGTTGTCTAACCAACTGTTCTACTTCTCTACGAAACAAGGCGTCAAGTGCTAACTGCCGGCCTAATTGCAATTTTAGTTTGTTCACAAGATACGTGTATATAGGTAGCTGGTACACCAGAGTTCAAGTTCTAATGCTGGCATATTAATTTCAGAGCACATCCTACATGAGATATATAGATGGTGCTTTGGCTCCAATTAAACGAGTACAAATAAAGTACAGGTGACGTGTGTTTATCTGTTGTTGCACGAGTGCAGTATATATATCCTCCTATGTGCTCAAATACTTCCTTTATCTAAATCAATAAACCTACTACGTGAAGATTTGACAACACATCTATAGGATAATGAATCTGGATGTTATCCTAGATGGTGTTAATCGCTCTCTCTCTCTCTCTAGACAAATGGAGTACTTATCACCCGGTCGTACCAAGAATGTTGGGTCTCCCCCTAAATTCATCCACCACGAACTAGTATTCTCCGTCTTAAAAAAAGATATTCATAAGTGCACATAGTATATGATCTGATATATCTTATATCTTAGTACTGCAAATATATTCATATTCATAGAATCATAATATTAGGATATGCTATATTTTCTATATAGGATAAATCTAGATAAAGTCTTTTTTAAGATAGAGGGAGTATTGATTTTCAAATCCATATGAAAAATATGAAATGACAAACTATACCAACCTTAGACTGAATTGTTGGATATAATTAATTAATTAATTAAATTTGAAAGAAGTCATGTCCCTATCAGACATGGCCAGGTACGTATCATGCCGTAGACATGTGCAAGACAGGAGAGCCAGCGGGCGCCCTTGTCGCCATTGATAAACAGTAGCTGATCCATCAACTGAACAAGCCAGTGTGCCTACTGCCGTGTTTAGTTTTAAAATAATTCTTTAAACTTTTAACTTTTTCATCACATTAAAATTTTCCTACACACACAAACTTCTAACTTTTTCATCACATCGTTTCAATTTCAACCAAACTTTTAATTTTGATGTGAACTAAATATAGCCTACGTATGTAGAGTATACTCTTCAGTCTTCACGACGCGGTGATGAACCGGATCGTGATCGAACTACTCTAGCTAGTAACGACTAATGACATGTCCTAATATTTTTTTTCTTTGCAAAATCAATATCCATGCAAGGAGGAGCTGGTCCTGTTTATCCAAGCTGAAGAAAAAAAGTGACAAAAACTGTCCTGGCAAGCTAGATCAAGATTAACTGTTGTTTTTAGGGTAAAAAAAAAACACTTTAACCGTGACCTTGTGTGTACACGTTAAATTCAGAGGTACTGTAATAGTTACTAAGTTTATACTACTTGTTGAAGGAGAATACTATGAAAGTTGATCAAGTGGACGATAGCTGAAATCGTGTTGTGCCACACGGCGGTGCTATTTGCTTGCGAATCCACACAGATTTTCATATTTAGATATCTGTATTAGTAAATAGAAGTATAATATGTACTCCCTCCGTTTCGAAATGTTTGACACCGTTGACTTTGACTTTTTAGCACATGTTTGACCGTTCGTCTTATTCAAAAACTTCTGTGAAATATGTAAAATTATATGCCTACATGAAAATATATTTATCAATGAATTAAATGATAGGAAAAGAATTAATAATTACTTAATTTTTTTAATAAGATGAACGGTCAAACATGTGCTAAAAAGTCAACGGCGCCAAACATTTCGAAACAGAGGGAGTATATAACATCTTTGATTTTTATGAGATGTTAGATTATTTTTTATTTTAAAAAATTATATATATATATATATATATGTATATATATATATATGTATATATATATATATATATATATGCTATTTATTTTGTTATCACTTGTTTTATCATGCATGAAACTCTAACCTTACTTATACTTTTATATATTTACATTACGTTTTTTATAAGATTAATGGTCAAACGTTATAATAAAAAAAATAATGGCATTAAAAAACGGAAGGAGCAGTTTTTTTTTTTTACTCTAGATAAGCACCATTAATCTACTGATCAGACCACTACACGGATACCCTGGCTGCAGTAAATTAATCGGAGCGACTATAAAAATAATTCGCCACGCGAATGTCCCATGCTCCCTGCCCGCAGCTAAAGCCTCTAAATTAATCAAATCAAAGCAAGCACACGCCCTGCTGTGAGTACTGTTAATTATCAGTATAATAATACTACGGAGGCAGGAATAGTATATATATTAGTCCTGCATCTAAGGACGAACACATGCTGACTGCATCATTTCTAGCAAGCCAGATCTAGTGCATGTCAAAATTGTTTATTTGCTCCAGGGCGTACGGCGCCGCGATCTCAGCCAGCCAGATTGTTAATTATTCTAATTCAGTTCATGCATGTGGTACTCTAGATCAAAGAGCAGATGATCTAATTAATTCCTCCGTCCCAAGAGCAAGTCGTTCTACATCTCCAATAATATCACACAAAAAGTGTCGTTACAATGGCGAACTGAGAAGTGGGCTATCTGTCTATTCTATCAAGTCATCTGTCAATGAGTGTTCAAAGAATTCATTAGTTAATTGTATATAGGGATTCTTTGTAACCTGCTGAGTGTACGATGACTTATTGAAATGACAACCCAATTAAGTAAATAGGGGTAATTTGGTCATTTTAGCATAAAGCTAATTTGGTTGACAAACCTTAAGACGTCAGGAATTTCGGGACCGAGGAAGTCGTAGTTCCTGAGCTCGTATCGATTAATTTGCAGCCGCGTCCTACGGTGGCAAAGATCCCAGGATAGAGGGTAGCCAGCCAATGAACACATGCATGTAATTAACATGAATACTAAAGATATCGAGCCAGCTGGTCTCATGCTTAAAAAAAGAAAACCAAAGAGAAGAATATCCAGCTGGTCGACATGGGTCACCTAGCTAGAGTTCAGTCAAATAATATGGTGTAAGGATCGTCGATTGTTGGAATCTCGGGGTCCAAATTTACCCCTAGCTAGTTCCAGGGATTTTGGTCCACGCAGAAACTGATCTTTTTCAATCTCTACTTGATACTTGAATAATGTCTCGGGGAAATTTAATTTAGTTTCAAAACCCTGATGCCTGCAGGGTCTAAATTATAAAAACATTTCCATAGTAGAACATAAACACAGAAAAAGAAAATGGAGAAGAACTCGATGTGTATGTGCACTACGTACGTACGTTGTGGCAGGAGCGACGCCGCCGGCGATGTTTATGTCGTCGACCGGCCGGTGGTACGGACGCCGACCAGCTAGCGCAGCGCTCAGATATAGTACCACCTCGATCGTTCAGGACCGCGAGGGGCGCTATATATACACACACACGCCTAGCTTAGCTGCGCTACGTGAGAGAGCGGCGCCGCGCGCCAGGTCACGTACGTTTTCATTTGGCTTACAAGTTTAGCTAGTGTCCACGTCCAAGTCGACACGTTTTCGTCGCGGTTAAAAGCAGAATCTTGTGCTGCGCTCGTGATGTACTCCTGCTTCTTTAAATTTGATCAACTTTATAGAAAATTATAATATCTATAACACTTAATAAATTTTATTAAATCTAACCCTGAATATATTTTAATAACTTATTTGTTTTGTGTTGAAAAATTACTGAGTTTTTCTATAAACTTAATTAAACTTAAAAAGGTCTGATTTAAAAAAGAGGGAGACTACAAAAACAGTATACCGTGTTTCAACGGAATATGTACCAACGATATATAATACTCCCTCTGTTTCAAAATATTTGATACCGTTGATTTTTTAGCACATGTTTGACCGTTCGTCTTATTCAAAAAAAAATTGTGAAATATGTAAAACTATATGTTTACATGAAATTATATTTAACAATGAATCAAATGATATAAAAAGAATAAATAATTACTTCAATTTTTTGAATAAGACGAATGGTGAAACACATACTAAAAAATTAACGGTGTCAAACATTTTGAAACGGAGGGAGTATATAAAACGGACAAAGTAATTGATAATCTACTCGGGGTCTCCCCTGCCGCTGCATCCATCTCTGCATATCAACCACGCCTTATTGCCTTGTGGGTTTTGTACAAGTGCTTCTACAAGTGGCATTGCCCATGTAATGCTACATAGTAGCAGTGATGTTTTTTTTAGAGAAAAGACGGTCACCCGCCCAGCTTTACTTGCATAGTAGCAGTGATGTATTCTACCGTACTTAGTTATGAGTACTACAAACTCATTGACATGGTCTGCAGTCTGCACTGCAGCTAGCTCCAATGCAACACTCTCCAGCTACGACTTTTTCCATTCACGTTTCTGGAAAATATCAAGACGGTTATGGTTTGGTAAAATTTGTTCCATGACACTTTAGAATTATGGCGTTTGCTCCCAGGTCTTGAGGACACTCTAGACGTACTATGTTTTACTATGAATCTATTCATATCATTTTCACATGACTAATCATAATCTAGAAGTGTAGAATAATGGTAGCATATGCAGTAAGATCGGTCATGTTTTTCTAGACTGTATAGTACTCCTTCCAACTATATGATAGTGGTATCGCATTCACCGTACATGACCAGACGAGATAGCTGTTTTTCTTCCTCAATAGTACTACTACTATTCATTTCTGATTAGGCATGAACTACAGACTACCCAAAGTCAAAAAAATACCCAAAAACAGACCAATTCAAATCGATAAAATTGAAAAACCAGAGAAAAAGATGCAGGGGTACTTATCAGTCAGCATTGCAAAATTCAAGCAAAGACAAGGGTCTCAGAAATCACTCTGTGCAGTAAACAGAGGGGAGAAAATTCCAGAGAGATGCAGACAAACAAGCTCACTGACCTAGCTGGCTGGCCGGATTTCTCAACCCGGCGAGCGAGGCGGCGACCGGCGATGATGGTGGCTGCCAAAATCTTCAGCTGATCACGCCGGCGATGTTGACGACGAAGATGAACACACGATCGAACGCTGCTGATGGAGAGATCGCCGTGAACTGTCGAGTGTTTATATATACTGGTTTCTGCTCGTGGGATGATTTCAGATTTCAGAGTGAGGCGTGTGGGGTTTCAGAGCTTCCTGGCAGCTGCTTGTTCTTCGATTACTCCTTCAGAGATGTTTCCAGGGGACAGAAAACACGCACTGCTATGGGTTTTGGTGGTTCTTCTGCTTCGCTGTCCCTCTGATTTATAGATGGGGATCATGTAATTTATGTTCTTATTATATGCCACACAGAGTGATGATTAATGGTAAGTAATCTTCAGGAAAATAATTAAAGTGATACAGCCATTATAGGCTTTATTTATTTCTTTTTACGGTTAAACAGCAGGAGAAGCTCTGTGTATATGCCCAGTAAAATTCATGATTGTCAATGGTTTTTTTTCTATTTACTGTGTGCATATGCCGAGTAAAATCTTCCTTAAAATCAGCTTTGTACAGGTTGAGTATGGCAACTTCTATTTTCATGGAGAAAATTAGGATCTGGAAAATTTTAGTTTTCTTTTTTGTTCTTGTGTCGCTCTGTTGTATAAATAAAGGGGTGAAAATAGTTGATACTATTAGATATTGCAATATCAGATTCTAATATTGGAAATGGATAGTAATCTGGAATATGGTAGCAAATACAGGATTGTCACTGTTTGCTTCGAATCAGGTTATCTCTCGAAATATCCAGCAGTGCTGGTATATCATCAATGTTCCAACCCACGGAATATAAATTCATAACCTAAGTGGCACACTGTGTTAAGGTGATTTTTTTTTTGCATGTCCCCAGAAATTCACCATATCCAAAATCATTTTCGATGTACGGCCCCTCACTATACAATAATAAGCTTGCCGCAATGATTTTTCTAAGAGGGACAAAATGTACAGTACTAAGGAGAAACTTATGATTAGCATCAATTATCAATAGAAAAAAATGGTGAGAAAACCAGCTTCGAGGGGACTGAACGTTGCTTGACAAGGGCACCTGATAGCTCGCTCCCTACCACCGGGCTATAATGCCATTCTTAACCTTACCGCAACATTGTGTTGGAAGAGATTTATACTACTTCCTCCGTTCCAAAATGTATGCGTTTTTTAGGTTGGCACGGGTATTAAGAAAGTAGGTGATAATGATTGGAGAATGTGTGTGATTGGTTGAAAAGAAAAAGTAGGTGAAGGAGAATAGTTGTGATTGGTTGAGAGGAGGAGGTAGGTGAAAAAAATAGCTTCATTTTAGAACAAGGTACTGTATTAGAAATAGCTACATTTTTTAACGGAGGAAGTACTACACAAATTATTTTTCTATACGTGGGGTGCATTAGGTTTACTATTACACATATCTAAACATGAAAAATCTAAATGAATCTAAATGTTTCCTAGGGCCACGGTCATAAATGTATACCACGAGATGTTGAATTGGTACTTTTCTTTGATTATACATATGCATAAACACCTTTAGTAATAAAAAAATCACAATAAAATAAATGAAAATTATATAAATTTTTCAATGAGTTAAATGGTCAAACATCTATCCAAAAGCCAATGACGTTATGCAATGAAAACCAAAGAGAGTACATACTTCCTCCATCCTGAGCATATCTAGTAAGAGAGATTAATGATAAAGGAAATAAAATTGTAATACCACTCAGTAAATGAAGAGTGATTGAAAAGTGGGAATGTGGTAGAGGGTAAGATTGAGTGAATTAAAATGGTTAGTGAAGGGAAATATTACTCTAAAAATAACTATGTTTTGGATAAATTTAAACGCAAGAAGTAGCTATTCCTGAGACAAAGGGAGTAGATATCAATAGGTTAAGTGAGTGTGTGTGTTTTCAGTAAAGTGCCAAAGTTTTGTAGTGGAAGTAAGAGTTTGTTGAGTTAATCAAATTCATATGGCCAACTTCTTAAGAATAAAGCCAATAAGCCCTCCCAGGCAAGGTTGTCAGGATCGGGATACTAGGTAGTATCGTTTTGCTCAAAGTAATATCGTATCGTAGGATCGTATCGTAGTATCGGGATACTATGAGATTTTATTTTTTAAGTTTAATTAATATTTATATTAATTATATATAGCCATTCTATATAAAAAATATAGTAATGATATATATCGTGCAAATAGAGACATTTATCAAGAGAAACCACGCTGGTTTTGATATATTTAACTGATTTTTATATAAATTTGAGCATATTTAGTTACATTATTTTCAAATCATGTTATTTTAAATAATATTTTGTAGTATCGTAGGGATCGTAGAATCGGGATACCACCTAAGATTTCATAGGATCGTGTAGTAATGAATAGTAGGATCGAGATACTACGAGAATTAGGATACTATGTGGGATCGGTATCGTTTCGGCTTGGTAGGATCGTAGTATCGTAAGATACTAGGATACGAATCGGGATACTGACAACCTTGCTCCTAGGTACGAAATTCCTTTATCTAATAGGAATGTAAGTATTTTTGAAAACCAAACCACCACACCGTGTGAATTTCATCTAAAAACAATTGAATTCAAAATTTTCAAATCTCACGGTAAGGTCATGGTAATCGTGGTTAGGCCAAGGTAACCATGGTGTTTGACTTGAAAAAAAAGAAAATCACTAAAAAGGATCATCCGAGAAAAACCATAATATAATATCGACAACTATAAAAATTATTTTTATAATGTTCACAATATAATGTCCATGAGCAACAAACCTTGACTTAGCAATGCGGCCTTGTAGTCATGCCAATATATGGAGTTAGTTTAGCATTTCTCATGAAGTTTTATCATCAGATATCATTACAAATCATGTACTAATTCAATTTTTTTCCTTTTTTTTTCTAAAATTTGAATTCAAATTAATATTATCAAATCCTACCACCGTTAACCTTATGATACCCCCATAGTAAACGTAGTTAGGAAAACCCTGATAGGGTGTTGCCACATATACTCTATATGCATGTGTGGCTCACAGGTAGGAACTAACCACTACGACACCCAAGTAAACTATAACATACTATTTACGACTCTGTCGTTAGGATATAATATTTAATAAATAAAGTACATTTTACTATTTCAAACTATTTTATTGGATCACTTCTTATTTTACCTCATAAACTGATAGAAAATAATTCACTTTAGTCCTTAATAGCATTTGTTTGTTTTGTTTTTCTTTATACAAGTTATATTTTAAGCAGGAATTTTGTAGAGACATAGATGTCACCATTAGTAAAGTTCAAAAATATTTTCATAAACATTTGCTTAAACTTTAAAATCTCGATATTTAAATTAGTGTTAGGTTCTTCCAACCTATGTAAATCAGTGATATGTATATTAAAAAATTATTGAGACATAAGTTATAACCCATATATCACTCTACCAAATTTCACTATAAAATATGACTTATATAATACAACATAAACAAAAGAAATATCATTAGTGGGTAAAGTGAACCGTATTCAATGGTTTGGGGTGTAAAATGAGAAAAAAAATTAGAGGGTTGAGTGCTTCGGCGAAATAGTTTGGGGGAGTCAAATGGATTTTTTTTTCATATTTAATTTATGAAAGTATAATCCTTTGGCACTTATAAAAAATTGTTGTTAACGTCATTTAGTAGCTATTTAATTATACTTATGTGGGACCAAAGCAGCTAGCAGTACTATCATTTATCTATGAGATTACAGATAAGAGCCAACTAGCATATTTATTAATTATGATACATCAGGCCGAATATTTTTACTCACAAAATTTGTCACATTAACTTTGGAAATTAGTGGCAGCATTATGATAACTCCCGAAAAAAATAAAAAAAAGGAATATTTGTATGGAGCAAGCTAATTAACACAATGAGAAACGCATACATTATACCATTCTGGCATCCTGCATTTTTTTCCTTTAGTAGTTTTTGTGCTGTTCCTTTGGCCATCTTCTTCTTGTTTTCTCTAGTGCACTGCGCATCACTACATGCTTACAAAGAGTAGTTATAGTGGAGTGTGCCCTAATTACTTGTCGACAATGGCCATGTTACATGTAAAGGAAAGCAGGGATGGAATGGAATAAAGGGAGAAAGAAATGGTTATGTACTTCCAAATCCCAAATGGGTTTTGTTGAGACGATGAGCTAGACGAATGTATAGAAATATGGTGCATATTGTACGAACAAACTGTGCCAAATAAGCATGGCTATTAAATTAGTCATAAACGAGAAGCATGCCTAGTAAATGGGCAAAAATAAAACATAGATTAGATATAACATAAAGATCAAACTGTTCTTTGGCATGATCTGAGGGAAGAAAATATTCCTGGCACATAAACATGGCTTAAGGTGTCATTAATTATTAATTACTTCCTAGCACCTTTTGCAACTAACACCCTAGTATTATAAATAATGCCACCTTAAACCATAGAGCAGGTTCAGTAATACAACTTCTTGATGGCTCTAAAATCTTGCAATACCATCTCTAGAGCTTCAGTTAAAGATGTTGCGAAAAACAGTATGTTGTAATACACAGTTTGGTTACTTTTTACATGCGTGGCCACCGACCAGCCAAATTGCTGATGCTTCACCTTATCTTCGAAAGCTTATCGTCCAATTTCAGTTCATATGCATGGATAGACCAACCATGCCCTTGTTTTGGAGTGCTATGCAGTTCGCTAGTGATGAAAATGGTTGAAAATGATATCATTTTTATTATTTTTACGTTAATGGTATTGATACACGGTCGCGGATTTTTCATATTTATAAATTTAGTTATTTAGTGGTAACTTCAATATGTAGATAGAAATTAAAAGAAATAAATTTTACTGTCAGAAATAATAAAAAAGGATAATACTTTTTACTATATTTTGTGAAAACAATATCGGTATGGTCCGAAAATTTTGTACTATTTTCGTCCCTTCAGTCGGCGACAATTTAGTGGTCTGCTCATGCCCTTGCTCCTCCAGCTCATAGCTTTTGCCAGCAAAGACATGCTATAGCCGGTTCAAATCTCTTACTCCCATCCGTACCAAAATATAAGAAGTTTTAGAGTTGGATACGGTTATTAAAAAAGTAGGTAGAAGTGAATGGTGGAGGGTTGTGAATGGATGAGTAGTGGAGGTAGGTGGGAAAAGTGAATGGTGGAGGGTTATGATTGGTTGGGAAGAGGATGTTGGTGGAGAAGTTATTATATTTTAGGACAAATCCTGAGGGCTAAAATTTGTTATATTTTGGGACGGAGGGAGTGCTAAATTAACTAGCTTTTGCTAGCTATAGAGTTGTCCATCGTCAGCAAAGATCTACTACCTCCGTCCCAAAATAAGTGCAGTTTTGCACTATTCACGTTCAACGTTTGACCGTCCGTCTTATTTGAAAATTTTTTATGATTAGTATTTTTATTGCTATTAGATGATAAAACATGAATAGTACTTTATGTGTGACTAAATGTTTTTAATTTTTTCACAAATTTTTCAAAACGTTGAACATGAATAGTGCAAAACTGCACTTATTTTAGGACGGAGGGAGTATATGGTAGTAGAAAAGAGTAAAAAGAGCACAATTATCTTCCATATACAAGCACTTACTCTCAACACACAAAACAAGAAGAGGAGTGTGAAAGGGGAAGCTACATATAATTAAAAATAATAAATAATTATGTTGGGAGTTTTTTTAACGACCAAAACTTACAAGGCTAGCACTCTAGAAGACATTAACTAGGAAAGAAAAAACCCAGCACCAGGTTGCACGCACTAAAAGCACCTATATAGATCAAGGAAAAGCCTACCACCGGACCAGTTGCCGCTAAGCGCGTCCAACCGTCACTAGACCAACAAAACCAAACCTTAACAACTGGGCATTAATGTACTCAACTCTATCCATGTCTTTGGAATTGAGGGTGAGATGGTGAGAGAGAAGAATTGATTCACTCTTCCTCACAAGGCCCCCAACATGGCCAACTTGTATTAGCTAGGACGTCGTCGCAAGAGGATGAGACATTTAGAGTAAGCACGCATAGGCTGTTTGAGCAAAGTTTTTGTATGGGCCCTCCTAAACGATGTCTCCAGGGAGAAGAGCGACGATGAGCACTGCCGGCGCCATCTGTCGAGGTCTCAAGGAGAACCAAGGTAGGGTTTTCACCCAATAGCCCCACCAGAGGGAGAGGGATGACTAGACAACACCCCACAAGGGGGAAAACGATGCCCAAAGTGTCGTCGTTGTCAGCCCAGAGAGGTTTACACTTGCCACCTACCCCTGTCGATCCGTAACTATCGCTCCATTTCTCCACCACTGGCCATTCTCCGTCAATGTGTGGACACCGCTGTACCAATGCCCTGCCACTGACCAGTCTCCGCATACCTCCACGGCGACGCCCTTGCCGTCACCGGCCTCCCTGCCGTCGCCGCGTCAACCACCCACGCTATCGGCTAGGCCAGCCCCCCTACTATCGCCCGCACCGATCTCCCGACGTCAGTCTCCAACAGCCGCCATCCGCATCACGTTGGCAACGATGCACTTCCGCCTCTCCTCGGCTTGGCAGTCGCGCCTCTCCTCCATGTTGGTTCCTCTTCTATGGCCGCATGTTGCTGCCCCATTGTCATTGACTGGTTGTCATCGCTACCGGCCGGGAGGACGGCAAATCTAACCAAGTTCTGACCGTCCACATCACCATATAAGTGTTGCCATCGCCATCCATGCATGCCTCGGCACCACCTCGACTCCATGCTGCGCCAAATGCACCATTGACTCGGCTCGATCTGCTGGCGGAAGCACCAAATCCGGCCATAGGGGACCGGATCCGGACTCACTAGTGCCGGATCTGGACATCGGCGCCTTGCCCTCATGCTCCAGTCTCGTGGGCGCCCCGGCCTCCTTGACCACAAGCAAGGGAGAGAGCCACAATGTCGTCGTCCTTGCAGCCGCTTGGCAAAGCCAAGCGGCTACTCGGGTGGCGGCGATGCGGGGGAGATGAGGGGAAGGAGGGGGTGGCGTGGGCGCGTGGCTGACTCCTCGCCCCTAGGGGCGGAGCGACATGGGCAAGAGTCGTGGATTTATTTCTATTTTGTTGGGGAGTATGATAAGCTGAATATATATTATCCTTACTGTTGTCTATTACCTACTCCCTCCGGTTTCGAAATTCTTGTCTATTCTCTGTTTTGTCCATATGAAATACATTCATGTGCTAAGGGTAATTAGTAACTCGCTGCAACCTGGGTCGTTCGAATCCCTAGTGTCGCTTCATTTTTTTGCACTCGGTTTTTAATGGATTATGGATGCATGCATGTAGAGACAAAACAAGTCCAAAATGAGCAGGCTGCTCCCAAAATACCAACAATTAGTATACTCTGGTTCCAAACTTAGAACTCTATGCCATTAAATTTGCTCTAATCCGTCTTAGGTCTCCCTGGTCCATCTAAACAAAATTCATTGCATCTTTGTTTAGATTCAGTAATCATGCATTCCCGCAATTCACCATACATGTATGTACAGTTTAAATCAATACTCAACTAAAGTTAGAACTATATCACCGATTTAGTTAATATGGTAGCCAGGAGAAATTGATCAACTGTCTACAAAATGTAGATGGCTTACGTTGGAATGCAAGTATGCACATCCAAAGAAAGGGAAAAAAATGAAAAATCTAAATTGAATCAAACATTCTTTGATCCTATTTGCAATATTCAAATATATATATACATCTAAGGAATTCAACGTCAAATAATTGGTAAACAAAAAGGGAACTATCGCCATCAGAGATCTATTACCACTGCCAATTTTCCGGCTCAAATTTGTTAGTTTATTACCTGATGATGGGAAGAAAAAGACAGACAAATCCACCACAAAATATATAATGCTCCTTGTCAAGACCAGAATGATCCGGTTGTCTCTCTCAGGAGAACAAATTATTGACACTATCAACTTTATTTTGTTACGTGAGTTCCTTTTTCAGATCTTCGCCTTTTTGCGCATGTTACCGCACGGTCGATTATTTGCATGAAAATAACTCAAAACGTGGCATGTCCCATCACTTGTTTCACGGTCGCTTGAATTTAGCTTAGTGGGCTGCTCGCATGCTGAAGGATTGATCCCACCCACTTCCTGATCATTGTATCATGTAGTGCCCACTGTCCATGAAAGAAATTGTTGCTTAAGAAAGGGAGTGAAAGCTGTTTACATACAAAGATATTGATGTCATGGGTGAAATCATGGACTACTATTTCTTCCACCAGAAGAAGTTATAAGACCAGTCCCAAAATCACCATCGGTAATCAAACGCGGAAGAACACTATAGGAAATCCAAAACTGACGATGACATCAAGGCACGATATATTTGATACCAGAGTTCAGACGTAGGCTACATATCTAAGGCATTGATTACGGATCTCCTTCCCGATCCAGTATAATTACAAAATATCAGAGTTACAGCGATCTTCGGTCAGACGCCGCCAGCAACTATTCTTTCTCGTCATATGGTTACAACACTTCGTCTATCTATTTAAGAGAGAGCATAGTTAAAACAAAGTCCGACTCTAACTCTAACAAAAGTATATGGCATGCGTTAATCATCTACTTTGGTAGGGTTACAGGCTTACAGCCCCTAGATCCGGTGAAGCTGGACCCAAACCAAACATTACTATATCCTTAAATTTGTTTTTAAAGAGTGGAGCACCTACTCATTGTGACAATTGCGATGCTATAATTGATCTGAACATATTTCTTTAAATTGTAATTTATTAGGAAAATTATGAGTAACCTAGTATTGCAACGAAAACCAACTTTAGCTAGAAAGGGAAACAAGGGAGAGAATTCTAAGACGGCTAACACTCCCAAGTCCCCAGCAGACATGGACTCTATGCTGCAATATATATACATGGTTAATTGGGTATACCGCTACAGTAAATGCAGTAGGAGTAATACTGTACAGTGACTATTTACTGTTCTGAAAAAAAAAACAAATTCATCTTTTGCTGCTCGAAAGAACTCTAGCGCATTGTTTTCAATTATAAGAGTCTCTGATGGCTAAAAACATGGCGTACTGCACATGCATTATTTCTTCTTCAATATCCAGAGGATCCGATTCCATCCCAAGCACGCCAGCAGGGAACATCCTAAATTGACATTCCTCTTTTGCAATTAAGAAACACAATCTAGCGTCTTCGCTTCCTTAATGCTTACTATTGCCACAGCTTGCAATGGGCTCTCACATGTCAGCTGGAAAAGATTTGTTAATTTGCCACACATTTGTGGCTCCTACTCCTAGTGGCCAGTGGGTATCCAAGCAAGCACATGTTGATGTACCTTCTCCTTTTTCAAGATCCGATTTATAATTTGCAAGTCACAAAGTGAACCATCCACCACACTTTCAAAAGAGGATCGAATCGACATAGAATTTGGGGTTTGATTTTCAGGGCTTCTGGATGGTGATTTGGAATAAATTACTGTAACCAAAGGCTTGAAAAGAGCCAAGAATCATAGCACCATTTCATTTTCTTTTCGTAAGTACAAGTCGGACGCGCACCATACTCACCATCTTGTGTTTCAAGAGCATTTTGGTTGCAGCACTAGCTTTGATATATCATAGTAGATTTTTTCTCCAAATTATAGGGAGAATGTGGGATTGGATGGAAAATTACAGAAACATTAATCTTCATACTTCCATAGTTCATAGCATACAAAGAGGTCGTGTGATTTATAAAAGTATGTTCTCTCCTTCCTTTGGAGCTTCAGGAAGGTTAAAACAAAAGCAGCATGTGAACATATAAGCACACTGGGAATAAATCATGTTCAGACTTCAGACTAATTTTCGACATATAAGCAGACACGGGCCCCTCATTGTTCAATCTTTCCATCAGGTACCAGAACAAGATGATGTTTTCTACTACATAATGGTTTGTTTCGAGCTAATCAAAATTCAAATCAGGGCAAAAACATGATACACCGGAAATAACATGCTGAGTTTGAGGACCAAAATCTTGATGTGCAAACATGAATTACTTGTTCTAATCAATTTTACAGGAGAATCTAGGGGGGGGGGGCAAACACACTGAGATTCGGCGATGTTAGATAGGGAACCCGTCCCATGTTCCCTTGAGTTGCCCAAGAAATCTGATGTTCAGAGAGTTAAAATCTGCGGCCTTGAGTCACTTTGCCTTCTTAATAAGAGTTGATGTGCGGAATTCTGCGTCATCCTTGATGAAACTCCACCAGAGATATGTGAGAGGAATGGTGCTTGCATGCCACAGCGAGTGTGCATCAGCGTATCCCTTGTACGGAGGAAAGTCGTATACTTCGAGAAGCATAGCAAGTGCACCACCAAAGACAACCACCCAAAGCTTGAATCGTGATGGATGCTGGGTTATGCCAGCCCAAATTGCCCATGCCAGAAGTTGAACCACAGCCATCACCACGCAAACTTTCATGTTCCACCCTGAGAAGATATGTCGGATAAATACAAATACCATATGCCTAACCATACGCTTTTATGGCCACACTGAAAAGCAAGTTTGTAAACTAGGACTGAAAAATGCCATTACTAAGCAGTATGCTAATGACAAAATCTTGTAACACCATAAGCTAATATGGTGTTAATGCTCTTGTAGGTCATAATACAAAGGAACATGGTAAAAAGAGGATTTGGGTGTTACTGAGCCTACAGCCTAGAAAAATATTTGTTCTAAAGCAGGATTATTCTCATTAGATGATGATATTTGTTCTAAAGCAGGATTATTCTCATTAGATGATGGTAAAAGATAAAATGCTTCAACAATGGGAAAAGGAACTTTACCATAGTCAAGCTCATAGAAGTTAAGATACAAGATGTGTGTTGTAACAAATGCCAAAATTGGAGCAGCAAACATCACCCTGGTAGCCTCGTCCTTGACATTGAAAGTCCTTAACAATGAAAGGATTAAAGAATAGCCAAGTAGAGCCACAGCTGAAGAGTAATCCAACTTCTCAGTCAAGTCTATATCCCTACAGAATGAAGAATGGTGTGTAAGTATCACAAATTATGAATTATGATGGTGTATGAACTCAAGTTTCATTACATATGGCTTTGAGCACTTCATACCTAGTATGGAATATAGAGCTCCAAAACCATGCGTTCATTGATAATATTGCATATATATGCCATAATCCAGTGTATTCGTAGTATGTCCTCTTAGTTTGGGGTCTAACAGGTAATTTGTAATTCACCAGCAGGAAAAATGAAAGCCAGCCAGTGAAGTGCATCAATAGGTTGACAGCAGACAGTGCAGCTGAGAGTGGCTCCTGATAAAGGATGACAAACAGGTGAGAACTTGAGAAGTAGACAAGCTGAAAATGGTAGTTTCAGTAAGGAATATGACAGTTGAAACATACTTGGAAGACAGAAACACGTATGAAGGGCCATTTTCCATGATACTTAACAGGGTTCAGACCACGTGATTGCCTTTCACCTTCTCTTTGCATCATGCAGTAGTAACGGCAGTCATTCATACAGTTTAGTTGCTTCCACTGCATGTATAGGGGCTCCTGCGTGTACCAAGAACTTCCAACAGACGCGTCATCATTCCCTGGGGACTGGCAGTGGCTTATGATGTTCTCCCCAATAATCCCTGTAGTATGACACTCCTCCACGCAAGTTCTGAAAGTTCACAAACAGAGCTAAAATTACCAAAAACTTCTAAATAGAAATAGAAGTAACTTCAAATAATACATACAACACAAAAGGGTAACATCAGAATGATAAAAACTGAACAAGGGTTCGCAGATCAACAAAGCAACAAAAAAATTTCAGTTCATAAAGCCCAAAAAAATATGTTGGACACACTCATTGGTTCATGAAATAAAATCTTGTGAAAAATTACTAATGTCACTTTGCAAACCCTTCGAGAAAAAGGAAAAGAGGAACAAACAGAAGATATCACTGGTGCTACCATAAATGAAATGCAATGAACTGCGCGAAAAATTATATTGAATGTATGGGGCGCAAGAAAAATAAGAAAACTAAAAAATGTATTTATTTTAGTAGGTTAAACATTCACAGATTATATATGTCGAGTATCAGAGTCCACAACAGGGAGTCCTGTCAGCAAGATGAGCCAGCAGGAACATTCGCCTTGACTGGAAGCAGCAAGTCCCTGGAGTTCCTATGTCATGCCATGGTACTAGATGAGTTAGATGATGTGTGAATTTGATAATTCAATATGATAATTTTAAGCTATATGGTTCTCATGCACTACTAAACCATCGATTTATCATGACTATCACTTAATCACTTTGAGAACCTTACTCCCTCCTGTTTATCAGTCAAAAAAGAGACCTGCTTCTAGGATTAGTAATCGATTTACTGTTGAGTTTGGTCTCTGAAATTTGGTTAATTTGCTGGCATATGTGGTAAGTTTAGCAGGTATCTTTCAAACGATTTATTATTGGTTATTTGTATTTCAATTTTTCTGACTGTCTCCAGGCATCCCACTGCCAATCTGCCACGTACAGCTGTGAACCCATGAAATCATGCAACTGTGCAATAAAAGGCAATGGTAATTAAAATTGTCCTTTTAACCATATTTCACTCTGAATCTGATACCAAAAAAAAAAAGCGGTAATAAATTTAGATATTCAGGAAACATTACTGCAACAAAAGTTCTGTAATTCCTTGACATCAAATGATGATCTTATTGGTCAGTTTCTTTAGATTTGGTTCTTTACAAATTTACATAACTAAGCCACCGAAGACATGATGTACTTAATAACCAAGTTTAAATCAGCCTACAGCTAGGAATACTGGAATAGTGTGTATTGGTTACACTCCGAAGAATAAATGTCCATACTCCAGAGTAAGAGAGTGAAATTGTAAATTTCGATTGATGCCATTAAATATCAGCTTGGAACTTCGATTTCACTTGTACACTAATACGGGACTCTTTGAAAACAACCATTCTTGTCAAAGAGTTTGACTAGGATGGCAATGCAAATGACAGCCTCATGAAAGGACCAAAGTTAAAGTTGGTTCTTCAGGAAATACCACTGATGAGCCACTAATACATATATAACTGATAGCTTTGTTTTGGTAATTTTTTAAAACTAATTTAGAACTTAGAATATTCTCACAGCATGGCACCAATCAAGAATAATGAGAGTAGAAACTTCAAACATGAAGTGATGCAACTATCAGCCTATGACAATGTCACAATGGTTAGCTAAAGATAATCCATTGGATGTACTGCTCCTGCTGCAATAATAAGTGTACTCTATAAAGATTTCACTAACAAAGAAATGTGAAACATTAGGTACTATGGCATTAACTAAGAATTCAACGTTTTTTGTGCGACTAGATATACAGTTGACAACAATAGCCAATCTTGTCTAGCTGACAGTGAAGAATATAAACAGAATTCACTACGACAATGTCTGCCGTATACCCACAATCATTTATGAACTTTCAGGTTGTATCGTTTCGTTGCTTTTCCCGTCAGGCATATCCACACAAAACAACCATATTTGACCATCATGCTCAATTTCCAGTTTCAGATAAGAATAATTACACAGTATCACATTAACATGATCCGATGTGCATGATTACTAGTAAGTATTTTTTTTCAGAAAAGGTTTAATAATAAGACTTAAGCAACACTTATTTCGAGAGTGGAAAAAAAAGCTGTATTTTAGATATTTCCACAAATAGGTAGGAATAGGATAACAAACCACAATTCAACCAATAGGACATCTTGAAATATTAGAGGGCCAAACAATGCTACACTTGCTACTATGTCCTAATACCTGAGATTTACTAACTACAGGGTTTAGCCATCAATAACAGCCCAAGTAAGCAAGCATTTTCCTAGGAGATAAACCACTTAGTACTGAAAAATCAAGAGCCTACTTATCCAGCATAGCCCCACTTGGAGTAGAATTAAGTCAATTAACGATAACTACGAATACTTGTATTAACTCGATGAGACGAATGAAGAAGACAAGGAAGCACAAGCATGCTCCCACAACTCACCTGTACTGCGGATCAACATCGCCAAGGCTGGCGTCGACGGAGCCGAGCACGAACCCGACGACGAGGAGCGCAGCCAGCCGAGCCACCCAGCCGCCGCCGCACCCAGCCATCGCACCCCCCCCCCCCCAACTGAAACCAGCGGGATGCTGCACACGATCAGACAATGCACGCACGATCCACGAACTGTAAGACGACCAGGTCAACCGCGAGCGATGGATCGATCGATCGATCGATCTTACCAGAAACCCGGATCCTCACTCCACGGCGGCTCAGGTCCCGGTAGAGCCACCGAGGAGGGCGTCTCCCCCGAGGAAGAAGAAGAACCGAGGGAACGGGGACTCGCCGGAGGGAGGCTGGGCTTGCGCGGCGTCGGGCTTCGCGCCCCGCGGCGAAGAGCTGAGCGGGGGTCTGGGCGGGTGGGGGACGGAGAGGAGGGGTTCGGGAATGGGGGGAGAAGAGAGCGGCGGCGGGGGTGGCGGCCGCCGGCGGCGAGGTTTGAGGCGGAGGAGGAGACGAGGAGAGAATGTGATGAGATCGGGATTGAGTTTGAGATGGGTTAACTTAATTGTGAGCGTCTGATCCAATCATCCAGCAGCACGAGGGCAGATTACATGCCATTTGATTTGACTACTCTAATCACCATATTGATTGCCTGGATTCTTCTTCGCTTCACGACTCCCTACTGCGACTATTCTGTGCCTGTGGCCTGTTTGTTGGGTCTGTGAGAAATGTAGGTCCTAGGCCCAAACCTCTGAACGTTCATGGAAAATGCATAATAAATAAACTTATTGACTTGTTTATTATTAGGGGTAGTGGTCATTTTTATTTTCGTATATGGTTCTGTGGAGTCAATTGAATTTTACTCTTCTCGTATTATATACTCCATACGTTTCACATTATTAGTCGTTTGAATTTTTTCTTAGTTTCGATCAAGCTGTAGCAAAATATGGTAATAACTTTTTAATAAAAAAAATGTATCAAAATATATTCAATATTAAATTTAACGAAACTAATTTTGTGTTGGAGATGTTATTAATCTTTTCTGTAAATTTGATCAAACCTAAAAGATAAAACAGAGGGAGTATCTCCAAGTATGTACTACTATGTTGGTAATGTTTAAAATAGCTAAATAGGATATGCGTTAAGTCATATCATCAGAATAAAGAGACGCAGGATCTCTCTCACGCTTCATCATATTCATGTGCTATTTTTAAGTCTAAGTTTTTAAAGTGCAAATTTAAAGTTATGGTAGATCAAAATTATTAATTTTTATGTGGAAAGGTTGAAGACGGATACAACTAAAGGATTACTATGTGTATTTGGTTAGACGGAGGGGTTGAATGGGATAGGATGGATGGTGGATATATGCCTCGATGGTTTAAGGTAGGATAATCTTTGCATACATACCTACTTTAAAAATGAAGGCCGTTTTCATGGTTCGCATATCGTTTTGGGCATCATGTGTCAAGAAAAAGAAGTGTCTCACGTGATGCGCACCATTTTTATTACTCCGCTCTCTCCCTTTGATCTCGCTTCTCCTTCTTTGACCACTTTGGCTCTCTCTCATGTTCCTTTCCAAATACAGCCCAAACTCATATCGCAACCCAAGACCATGTTTCTGACGGATTCCTATTCAGTTCAATATCATGAAAACGATCGCTCCAAACAAAAGTGCTCTGGCCTCAAGGGTCGTCCTCCATGCTATTGATTTGTTTTTCATCGGTAGGATTGAATGAAGTTTGGGTCCATGTCTGTCTTTTAGATGGTGTTACTATATCATGCCACGCACATACGCCCGCAATCAGTTGGATTATTTTATATTTATTTTAAAATTTACAGCTATAATTTCATTTTGCAATTTTACATATGTATACTCATCCATCCTTTGGAAGGGGTTCTTTCTTTTATATAAAACATCTTCCTAGAAGGTGGCAAATGTGACGTGGCATGTGGGTTAGGGGGTGTGGATGGGTGGGGAGGGATAGCTACACTTTTGTAGCCAGCCCCTTCCGCCCTCCCTAGGGAAGTTTATCTCTCGCCAAGGACGTCAAAGGACCAGCTGCAAAAGTGCACCTCGGCCCGCCCAAGGAATGAAGTAAAGGGGGAGGGGGTGTCTGTGCAGAAAGGCCACTCGTAGCCCTCCCAAGGAGTGGTTTATGTCCCTGGTGGGTATAATCCCCCTCCTCCCTAGCCTCAAAAATCCTCATTTTCCATGTGGGTGAATGTTGCCAGGTGGAAATGTCCTTAACATGAGATATTTTTGTTGTTGAGGGTGGGGGAGGGGAGGGGGGAGGTCCAAATATTGATGATGACTTCTTTGTAAGTGTCATTTTAACTATCATTTCATCGATCGCTCATATTATTAGTTTATCTTCCATATCTCTATCAAATTAAATTTCTTTCCACAGGGAGACTCAAGGGTGTGTGCATTCACAAAGTGGATTGACACGGAGATCTCATGGTGGAAATTAAGATTACACAGGCTAAAACGAGGTCACATAGGTGTAGACGAAAGAGGAGTACGAGCGATGATCATGGAGTCTGCTAGTTTAGATTGGAGAAATAATCCTTTGGAATCCCTAAATGGCTTGATCGTCTGAAGTGCGCATGTCCGAAGTGCGCATGTGGATATTGTTGCCAAGTGACAACATCCTTCACAGAAGAGAGCTATATGAGGAGATGTTTCATTTTCCCAAATATAGATAATGACTTTATTGTGTGCCATTCCTTTTGTTTTTATCTACCCCCATTGGCAGATTCAGAAAATTTATTGAGTCTGGGTAAGTCTAATGATAGATGATAAAAACACATAATCAGTATAACTCTATAGACCATTTATCATTGATGTAAGAAAATTTACACTACATAATTATTAACTTACAGAAAAATATCTATTGCACACTACAAACGATGGTGTGAACTTAATTGCTTTACTAATTTGCCTGGTTAATCTGCCCTTCATTAGGACTAACAAAGAGTATATATGTACTAGTGCATAAGGCGGAGCACGAGCAATGGCCCAGGCTGGCCGGGCCTTGGCTCCACCACTGTCTACTCCCGTATTTCATCGTGCCATCTAGAGTACTACTATAATTGTTCAAGCATTTTTTTTCTTTTCAGCATGTTGTCCTATGGGAGGGAGGCAAAGGGGCTGGCTGCAAAAGTGCAGGCATCCCCCCGCCCCAACATTAGCCGCCCTTTGGTCCTAGAAGGCAGGAGGAATATGGATGCGTAAAATTTCCAAATGAAAATCTCTCCTCAGGCTAGATAAGCAATGCAAGAGACCATCACTAAAATGTGTCACATTTAGCATGTACCATGGTAATGCCAAGATAACACTATTTCTTGCTCTCCACAGACAATATTTCCCAATGAAAAGAATGAAAAAAGTAGTGCAATATCTACAACAATGGAACTTCATATATATATCATTGATGATATCTGCAATACTGGAAAGTTAGCATTGTGGAATAACAAATCCAATGATGATGGATTATGAATTATAATCGTCATGTACATGCATCAAATCCATTTGTAAAGTACAAAAAAGGAAAAGTTTGTCATAGCCTAATAGCTTATACTCCTACATGATTTCCTTCGTCGAAACTGGACGATATCTATTTTGAGGGCCGAACAAAAATCTAAGTAATCTAAACGAAATGGAAACCAACCAACTAAGAGCCAGTTTTGAATCAGTACTTGTTACCACTAACGTCAACGAAAAGATTATATTACCTCTATCTTCAAATATAGTAAATTTTAGCTGTGAACCTGGACACGTATATTTTTCTAGATACATAGCTAGAAATGCTTATTTTGAAATGAAGGGATGGATGAATGAATGAATCAGTCTCCGTTCTCGGAGTCGTCATCGTAGAGGTTGTAGGAGCGAAGTTGGGGAGCGGGTCCTTGCGGAAGAAGGCTATGGGGTTAGCGTACCAGAGGCCTCCTTGCTTGATGCCATTGTTGCCCGTGAGTGCAACACGGGAACGGTCGCGGAATCGCTCGATCTCAGCGCACTCTGGCTCAGGGCTCCGCAGCAGCACCACCTCGCAGATCTCCTCCCGGTGGTCCTCTGACACCTCCATCTTGTACCATCCCCACTCGTTCACCGTCGCCTCCGCCTTGTGGTGCAGCTGCTGCGTCTCGAAGTGCCGGCACACTCCATCAGCACTGTTGCTCCTATATATATATATATCCATCCATGAATCGCTTTTGTTATATATTTTATCGATAATTTTCTACCAAAAATTTAGCAAATATAAATACAATATAATTGTAACTTGTATACAACTACTATGTCTTGTATGTAACTTTCACATATTTTAAACCATTAAATTTAAATCAATATTTGTGCATATCAGGAAGAAAATCATAGCGCATGCATGGATGAGGAGATTTGGTCTTGCGCTTCTTGAAAATAGTGTGTAGCTGTGAGATTTTTGAAGTCACATACAAATTATATTTATACTAGAAAAATTACCCGTACGTTCCAACAGGTGAAGGCTATTTTAATTTTATTATTGTTATACTATTTAGTTAAGATGAAATTCATTGTGAGAATTCACTTAGATATATATTTTTTTAGAAAATCATGAGCTTCAATTATGAGTCCGATGATCTCAAGTTAGCACGTAAGTTTTTCTAAAGAGATTTCTTATACGACTGCTCCTATATTTCTAAAAGCGAACGAGCTCGAAACCTAACTCAAATACAAACTTAAAAACCGACTCATACACAGATGACGTACTAAAATACCGGCAAAAACATCTTCGATATTTATAATAGTTTCACTGTGAGAATTCGCTTGGATATATATTTTTCTAGAAAATCATGAGCTATAATTAGAAGTCCAATCATCTCAAGTTAGCATGCAAGTTTTTTTAAAGAGAATTCTTATATGACTATTCCTGTATTTCCAAAAGCGAACGAGCTCGAAACCCGACTCAAATACATATCTATATTTCTAAAAACGAACGAACTTAACAACCGACTCATACACGGGTAATATACCAAAGTACCGGTAAAAACATCTTCATTTTTAATAAGAGTAGAGAAGAGATTATAGTTACATGTAAGATATAATATAGTTACATAATAATTATACTACATTCACATATGTGAGTCGATGAACGAATAGCTAGTCCCAACTTGTACTTCTCCGTCTCCGATGAACGAGCTAGCTATTAGTATTTACCTTGGATGCTGTGGGAGGCGTTGGTCTCGAAGCCGGCGCGGCAGCTAGCTGTCGCAGTAGACGCGGCCGTGTCGAAAAAAAATCTAATTTGGTGTATTACGATGGTTTTCTGATCTATTATATCGACCCTCTCATAGGGTATGGGTATATATAGAAGTACATAGGGAATAAAAACTTGGAGTACAATACATACAAGTAAGAGTAGATTTATCTCTAGGATATATCTTATCACTATATTTATATTTGACTATTATCTCTAACCGACATATCTATACTTCTAACATTCCCCTTCAGTCGTAACGGGAGCGAAGCGAACGATTGCGACTGGATTTGAAATCTTCTATTTCTTCATCTTCTTTCGACTCACCATCCTTGATTGCATCTCTAATGGA